TGTGTCCTTAAACCCAGTCAAACGTGTATTGAACTGTAAATAATTTGTGGATCTAAGTAAGCCATTCACACAAGATGCAACGAAGGTATTTTTTTGAAAGTGGACCCCCCAAAAAGCTGATTAACCATTCACTATAGTGAAGAATAGACAGGATCTCCAACCACAGTAAATGTGCTGTTTGATTTAATAACAAAATGTGTTGACTTCATTTGGGTGGCTGGTCAGAGCAGAGGGCTCCAGACTGGGATGCCAGTTAACGATACAAATTAAGGGCTAACTGTAGCATCACACGGCTAGTGTTATCTAATGCTTATGGATGGGTTCAACAAGCCGTTTTGGTCTGAGATTGTTGGAACCATTTAAAGGCTCGGTGTTGGATGTGAGCTCTGGGGATGGATGGTACTTTAGCGCTGCGTCTACCCCGTTTAATGGCAGCAAGACATTTGCCGATCTTGGAAGAGGAGTCAGACTCTTTGTTGTGTGAAAGACATCCGCACCGGCAATGACATACCTGGCTCTCTACTCAGCTTGCTGCGCTTGTTATTCGTCGTCTACCCTGTGTTTATTGGAGGCTCACCAACATTAAAGGTGTTACCTATTGTGTCCAGGTGTGCAGATGCTGCCCTTGTTAAGTCAGTGAAAGCAGTCTGGCTCCATATTATCGTTGCTATTTATCGCATTTAATTTCATTATCAGAATAATACAGAATAATAAAATCACCCGATATATACCCGATGGTGACATTCGCTAGTTCCAGCATCTCAGCTGTAAGGATGTGTTGCATACTTTGTCTTATGTGATAGGAAACTGAGACTCTGAGTTTTCGACAAACAAGCAATGCAAAGACGTCACTTTGGACTTTAGGAAATTGTTGCTTTTTGCTTTTGTCAAAAACAACTGATTAGAAGTGAAAATAATCATCTGACGAATTGATGAAAACACAAATAACTGATTTGTTTTTGAGTCCTCACAGACCAGATGACTACATTATCACACTTTACCACAATCATGCATAAATTCAATTCAGAGTCATGCCTCACTATAAAGAGACTTTGAGTCTTTTGGCTGCTGTTTGAATAAAGTGTCAGACAGCATAGCTCTTTTCGGGAGATTCCTTTGATCGTCGAAGCTTATCACTGCACCAGCTGCTACTGTGGCTGATATCAAACTATTCTTATCACAAACATGCGAAAGATAAATGCTCTTGCTGTTTTCAGAAATAATCTATAAACCTAAAATCTATCCAGCCTTCCATAAAGTGCAGCATGTTGAGATGTAGCTATGATGAAACTTGTATTTCCTAAGCATCCACGGTGTAAGCTAAGGACGTCTAATTCCCATCTCCCATTCATGCCAGTGGCTATATAACCACTTATTAACTTAAATACGTACAAATGCTCTAAGCTTCTGGCTGAGCTGCATCTACAGATATTTCATGAATTCGGTTCTGACACGCTGTGTCACGTTGTGTTAAATTACTAATCTGACTGCTGCAGCGAGTGGGTTGCTGTGAGTCTGGAGGCTGCATCCATCCAGACCACAGAGAGCTCCTTCACTGTGAAGCATCAGAGTGCAGGGGCAGCTCGTGTTAAAACAGGAGGTGTGCATCAGAGTATTTCTTTCATGGTTAAGTGTAGGCTGCACGACAGACAACAGGCTGGAGTGTTTTGTGACACTTGCTCAGCAGTTTTACTCTGACTATGACATCCTGTGCGTAACTGTGATTTTGCATTAAGAGATTTAGGTGGCAGCGTGTTTGGGAGATGCTGACGATTATGTTCAGATAAACACAGACAACAGCATATTAAGACAAGTAAATCAGTTCGTGGGTGTACTAAGGGTGGGCTACTTAATGGCTTCTGTTTTGTCAGCTTGTAAAATGTGCAGTCAAACTACCACACATAGCTTTTAGGAGCTGCTTGCTCAGCTAAAATAATTTAATTAGCCTGGGCTTCAGCGCAGAATTAAAGTGTCCTGTGAAAGTCTAAAGACAGCTGCCAGAGCTTTTTCCCACTGGTATGGAACTGCAGAATGCTCATTCTTTGTGGTGGCAAAATCGTCAATACACACAAATATAGACAAAATATCTGCTATTATTGCAGGTATACAAATCACCACACACAACCTTTCACGGAGTCTTACATGTCTCTTTGTACCATGACTGCATGCATTTTTAGCATGGTCACTGGCTGGCCTCCAGTGAGAAAGCTCTTATATAAGCCACCCAAAGCCTCAGCTCTAAAACTGCTACAACACGCAGGGCTCTGCAGCTATTTTAAGCCTGCAGTGATTCTGATTTTGACTTCCAAAAAGAAATGATGTGCAGGAGGAAAAATAAAGCTGTTATGGTGAGCCAATCAAATTTGTTATTTGGCTTATTGGTGCTTTTGGCAGGAATCGTTTTCAGAGTTGGTTATTCATGTCCAAGCCTATCTGTTGACAAGCTTGAGTAGGTAGAAGACTTCTGTTCCTGTGGAAGTGTGGGCATGGCTCTGGGAAAGGGCTTCTGTGTGACCACAGTGAGGCCTCAGTCCACAGAGGCATTGTGGGCAACGATAAGGTCAAATGTTTTTCCCACTGCCTGAGCAGAATCGTGCAGATTTACATTTTAACAAGAGCTTCCAGAGTGCATCAGGCAACAATCCAACCACAAATACGTCATCCAAAGGATTAATACTCACATACACAGATATCTGCACACAGGTATACAAGCTGTCACATATACAAATACAGAATAAATCACAGATGACTTCACGATAAACACACATGCATACACACATGCTAATTCTAAACTATGAGCTGCATTTTATGGACCAGTGAAGCAGAAGAGGCACAGACACAGTGTCAGTTAATGAGTCATTGCTCTACTAACATGTGCGAGCCTCGTGTGTGTGTGTGTGTGTGTGTGTGTGTGTGTGTGTGTGTGTGTGCGTGTCTGTGTCAAAGAGAGACAGAAAGAGAGATCAGTAATGTCTTGACTCCAGATGTTTTGTGGGCCTTTCTGTCAACTCAGTTTCCTCCTGTGCTCCCACACTGCATGCAAATTTGCGGTTTGTAACCGAGCTGAAGTGTGACATCTGTGTCCTGTTTCATGCACCACTGCGGCCGAGAGTGCACAGCAAGGGGGCCTCCCAGAGCAGACTATATATCACTACTGTGTGTTTTCTTAAACCGGACCCATTAATCATCTAGCTGTATTGTTTGAAGTCTTCTTGACGAAGACACAACATTGCCATTTGCACTCTTTCACACACCAGAATGCCTGATGAGTCAGGATCTCAGACCTTTTGCGGATGATGTCATCAGGGCTGAGAGAATATCATTCATATCATCTACAAGTAACGTCACAACACAAGGGTTTACAGGTATGAGGAGACAGGTGTTGTATTTTCATAGCCACCATTTCATCATACTTGAAAACCACACCCTGTACAAACGCTCATCCATTTCTTTGTGTGTCCGTAAACCCAGTCAAACTTGTACTGAACCGTCAATAATTTGTTATTCTAAGTAAGCCATCCACACATACTGCAACAAAGTTATTTCTTTTAACTGAACCCCCCAAAAAGCTGATTAATTATTCACTATAGTGAAGAATCGACATACTCTCCAACCACAGTAAATGTGCTGTTTGATTTATTAACAAAAATGTGTTGACTTCATTTGGGTGGCTGAACTAGTGACCGTTGCTAAGTCTCTTTTTTTAAATGGGGTCACGACCCAGTGTGAGTCACTGGTGCATCTGGTAGTCGCCTCCATGAGGAGATTAACATAATTATAATGTTTTTAACGAGCCTAGGCCAGAATGAGACCAAACAGATACACTACAGAGTGATTTGATTTGACTCGATTTTAAGATAAGGTAAGATAAGATATTATAAATTTAATATTGGTTGGACCAGGACTTAAATATGACTTGCCATGAAGGTAAGAGGAGGGACATGTGCCAATTTTCTACATTTGCATTTATTACTGTTGAGTTACTGAGTTACAGCTCAACAAAGGAGGCGACTTATCAGCCAGTGCTACTCCTTGCAATGTTCATGATAATGGTTATTGTCATGCGTAAAAAATTACAATGAACTGCTTGTACTCAGTAACACTCTCTGTCTACACAAAGGGCACACATCCCCTGACAAGAATAAAAAAAATAAACATTACCCACAGTATACGGAAAATCGACAAGTAACAATGTGCAGTGTGAATGCGTCAACTGCTCAGAAACCTAACTACCTGAGGAAACAAGTGCTGTGCGACTTGATGCTCCAGTAACGTTTTTTAATGGGTGGAGTGAGAACAGAGCATGAGCAGGATGGCAGGTGTCCTAAATGGTGTTTTAGGCTTTCCTTTTGCAATCACAGGTGTATATGTCACGAAGTTATGGTAGTCCTGTGCTAATATATTTTCCTGATGTCATTACAGTCTTCTGCAAGTGTCTGCAGTCCTGAGCAGCCAAACCACACAGTATTGCAGCCCGTTATGTAACCCATATGAGGATGAAAATAACAAGTAAATGTTTGAAACAATGCACTGTGTGGTGATGATTTTACTGTGGGAGTTTATGGAAGATGGGGAGTGCTGATTGGAGAGCTGTGTGACACACACATCTGCACTAACCAGGCAGGGTTACAGATTATAACCTTCTACAAAACTGTGCACTTTTATCACAGCTGGGTCCTGGACTGCACACACACACACACACACACACACACACACACACACACACACACTAGATTAACATGCAGGACCTCATTAGAAAGTTGAAGTCCTCATGTGACTCCAGGACTGAGAGCAGCCATGTGAATACAATTACTTTTACTTTAAACAGCACTTCAAATGAAAACAACTCTTGTGGTATACACTCCATCTCTCTCTCTCTCTCACACACACACACACACACACACACACACACACACAGACCCTACTTCTCATACAGAGGGACCAAACAGTACAACAAATACACTCTTTCCGCTCATTTCCCCGCTCCGCTCCTCACTGACCTTGGCGGACCGGCGGGCTCCCAGTAGCGGCAGAACAGGTGCAGTCCGTCGGCGTTGACGATGTGCTGCAGGTCGCTGTAGGGGACTCCCTGCGGGCTCCGCCGCGGAGAAGCTCCCGGCTCGGGCATGGAGAGGTCTGCAAGAGACACACGGACAAACCATAACACATCGCTGCCGTAGAGGTAGCTGAAGCCGGCGACGAGGAGGCAGGTGGCGGCGGTCAGTGCGTTCATTGTTGGAGCCTGGGCTTTATTTATTTTTAGCGCGTGCTTCAGGCACGCAGCGGAGATGACACGGTTTGTTGGTCAGGCTATGCCGGATATAATCCTGAGCTGCACACACACATAACACACTAACACACACAAACAGTGAGGCAATGTTGTCAGAGCGTCCGCAACGACAGGCGTTACGTCACAAGACCATATGCTGTGCTTTGCACAAGGTCTCCCAACCTCTCTTATTTAACTGTCATTACCATGATGATAATAGTGACACCTATAAGTGCATTGTTGCCAAATGTTGTATGCCATGAGGTTTCTAATGAGAAAAGAACAATGCTTTGCACCTCACTATACTTCAACATAATATGATAGGCTACTACAACTGCATAACGGACTGTGAAAAACAAATCATAAAAACTAAATAGAATAGAATGACCAATGATAAGATGATTTTCAACAATTCAATTAATACTATATGGAAACAATAAAAGGGATTCTAAAAAAAAAAAAAACTACTAAGGGACTGTTCTTTACTTATAAGGGGGGAGGGGTGGTGCAAAAAAGGTGGGGGCATGTCACTTAAGTTTTTAAGCACTAGGGAGGGACTTTTGTTTTTTTTACTGTTAAATGGTTGTATTTTGCATTTATTGTACTGCAGATTTTGCCATCAAGGCATTCATTTATTCATTTTCCATAATCATTTATCCTGTTGGGGATCGCGGCAGGGCAGGAGCCTATTCCAGCTGTTACTGTGCAAGAGGCGGGGTACATTTTGGACAGGTAACTAGTCTATCACAGGGCTGAAACATAGAGACAGACAACCATTCACGCCTATAGCCAATTTAGAGTCACCAATTAACCTAGCTTGCGTGTCTTTGGACTGTGGGAGGAAGCCGGAGTACCTGGAGAAAACCCATGCTGACATGGGAGAACATGCAGACTCCGCACAGAAGCGTTCCCCCACCCTGAGATTTGCACTTCCCGCCCTGGGTTCGAACCAGGAACCCTCTTGCTGTGAGGCGACAATGCTAACCACTGCATCACCATGCCGACTCCTTCAAGGCTTGCTTTCTTTAAACATTACACCGAATTGACACCATTTATCATAGCCAGAAACTGTAAAAACAGAAATGTTCCTTGTAGTTATCATTGAAATTATCGTTACCATTTTCAAATTTGCAACGATCCATGGACACATCATGGCTACAAAAGCATCCGTCAGAAAAAAAAAACAAACTAGCTAAATCTGCGCTTAAAAAAGTGACCACCTATCCATCCATCCATCCATCCATTTTCAACCACTTATCCAAAGCAGGGGCAGCAGGCTGAGCAAAGCACCTCAGACATCCCTCTCCCCAGCAATGCTTTCCAGCTCCTCCTGGGGGACCACAAGGCATCCCCAGGCCAGACGAGATATATAATCCCTCCAGTGTGTTCTGGCTCTGCCCTGGGGCCTCCTACCAGTTGGACGTGCCCGGAAGACCTCCAACTGGAGGCGCCCAGGAGGCATCCTAGTCAGATGCTTGAACCACCTCAACTGACCCCTTTCAACACAAGGGAGCAGCAGCTCTACTGCGAGCTCCCTCTGGATGTCCGAGCTCCTCACCCTATCTCTAAGGCTGAGCCCAGCCATCCTCCTGAGGAAACTAATTTCGTTCGCTTGTATCCACGACCTCATTCTTTCGGTCTTTTCCCAAAGCTCATGACCATAGGTGAGGGTTGGGACGTAGAAGGACCAGTAAATCAAATACTTTGTCTTCCGACTCAACTCTACCTTCACCACAAAGGTCCGGCACAGCACCTGCAACACTGCAGATGCCATGCCGAACCATTGATCCATCTCACGCTCCATTCTACCCTCACTTATGAACAAGACCCATTAAGATAGTGACATTTCATAAATATCATGGCCAAAATTAAACTGTTTGCACAAACTAACCAGCATGCGCGACAAGAGTGGAAAAACCAAGGCTTTTTTCAACTTCAGGATTTGTCTTCAACTTTTAACTTTCAAACATCGAAGGGTACATTTTAAAAATCTAATTACTAGCTAATTTATGGTGGAGGGAGGGTCATGCATTTTCCGTTAGTCATGGGAGGCTCAAGGTAAAAATCTGTTGCCTCAGGAGGATAAAAAAAAAAAAAAGATGAAGTCACATCCCAGCCACTCCCCCTCCTCTGACAAGTAAAGAACAGTCCCTAGGAGAGGAGGATTTCATTTGAATGTTTGAATGTGTGTTATTTGTTTCATTTTCACGAGCTCTTTCTCTTTCAATGTTTTTTAAAATATCATTTTTCCTGCACATGCAAGCTGATCTACTATAGTAGGCTACTCTATCAAGTAATTGGATGTGTAAACAAAATTATTCCTCTGCCTCTGCCAGACATGGTAAAGCTGCACACATCTTGATGCACCTTTATGCCCTCCCCTTCCCTCTCCCTTCTCCCCTCTCTGGCACTGCACATGAGGTTTCCCTACCTGGCATCAGGTCCTGCTGGATACACAGTATAGCTGCATCATGTTAATGGCATGTGCAGCATTACAATGAGGATAACAGTGTGTGTGTGTGTGTGTGTGTGTGTGTGTGTGCCGCACGGAGATATAAATAGCCTTGGTGTGAAGCTATTTCCTGAGGTGATCGGGTGTCGTCTTTCAGGTTCAGTCACCTGACAACCTGCCCTTCATAACTGAACAGGTTATAGAAACTGACAATTAGTAAGTAAACCCAGGAGTAAATAAACTATGTAGCCGCCCGTTGGTCATGTGTCTTGCTTGAAAATGCAAATACACTTTTTTTTTTATCCTCAATATCTGACAACATTTCTGCTTTGAGTGCATCATAATTGGAAACTGCTCTCATGACGTGTGCGCAAAACCTCCCTTTTGTTTTCATCCCTGCTGCAACCATCCGTTTGCACCTTCATGCACATGGGGAAGACTCCTCATAACTGGGCAGCCTTCATGCTTCCAGAAAGCCTTTGCCATGTCAGGTGTCTCTCATAAAGCTGACATTGTAGCCTTGTCAAGAATCTATTAATGTGGTTGGACTGCTGATACTGATCGATGCCAGTGCGCTTCTAGTAGTGGAAGACGCGCTTCAGCATCAATATTATGGTCTGCGGATCTGATATGAAAAAGATGAATGGAGGAAGAGGAGATGCAGCAGCCTGTGTGCGAACAGCCTATCACTGCAAAACTACAAGTTGCAAAGCGAAAGCTAGAAAACAGCCTGATGCTGGAGATGAATCCACTCGAGTCCATAATAAGGTCAAAACTGGTCCCGCGGACGCACCGTTTAAGTCCCTGTGCGTAAAATACAACATGGATATTATAAAGATGGGACCAACCTGTGCAGGAGCGTCTGCTGTGAAGTTTCAGCTTCTCCTCGGACTCTCTAATCTCCCCCTCTGTCTCTTGGCATGTATGTCTCTCTGCCTCCGATGCTCTGCTCTCGCCACCCGCCAAGAGAAGAATGCAGTCAGCGACGTTTGGGTTGAAACTAAATAAGTATTCACACACACTCCCTCTCTCTCTCTCTCTCTCTCTCTCTCTCTCTCTCACACACACACACACACACACACACACACTCTCACACACACAGTTTCCCCAGAGGCGGAGATGCAGCTCTCCTCTCTTCCCTTCTGTAAAGCCTCATTTACTGTAAAGAAAGACATTTTGTTGCCTACATAGCAGACCCATTGACATCCATTTATTAATAGGATCATATCTGAATCTCTCTCCTTATTAACTGTAAAGCTTCCACCTGATGAGAGAACTATTCCTAAATTAAAACTGCCACCTGTATTTATGTTTGATTAAATATAAGGAGGTAAAACTGTTTGGTTTTAAAGCAGCATTCATTGATTTTTTTGGTCACTTGGGGGCAGAGGAACAAGCTGTAAATGCTACACTGACATTATATGACCTTATAAAGTTGATATGGTGAGTGTTTGTGAATTATCTGTACACACAGCAGAGGCAGGGAATAAGACAAATATTGCATGTAACAACCTGTTCTTAGTTCCAACTTGTCAAATACAGATGCTTTGTCATGCCACTTGGTGTCTGACTAATGACTAGTTTCATCACGATATGATATTGTATCACTTCTTTGGACAATGATACGATTTTTGCCGATATTACAACGTCTGTCACGTTACGATTTCGATTCAACATGAGATGATATTATACACCCATTTCACCAAACCGATCTCACTCCTAAGTCTTTCAAATCCGGCAGTTGGGCAGTGACTTGCGGATCAGACACTGACGAAAAAAGCTGTCCTTTAAGGTCAGTATGGCCAGTTACTGTTATAGTTTAATGGTGCTCAGTGGCGTCGGGGAAATGCAGTGGGACAGGAACCAAAATAAGGTGGCGAAAGTCCAAGTGAGGTGGGTGGGATGGGTGGTGGATGGGTTCTATAAACACCCACTTTCACCCAGGTCCCACGTCCAATGCGACTGTAAAGCAAAGCCCTGTTCTTTTTTCCTAAACCTAATCACGTGCGCTAGTTTTTGAAGGAAAAATCATCGATTTGTGGTGTTGTACCAATGTAGTGCATTTATTTTGAAAGAGAGTGTATAAACTGTAAATTTCCTGTGAAAACGTAAGTCCATTTTGCCAGACCACAGTGCATGTAACAGGCAGAACTTGACACTGCGTCCCACGTCAACAACCAACACACCCAGGGTACCTTACACATCGTATGTGGACGTTGAAAGTCCATGACCAAAACGTCAATATGTGACGAGGTCGGAGTGAGAATGTGTTGATTTAACAGTCTGTTACAGAAGAACTTATCATCCCTTTCTTTTTTGCTTTTGGCCATAAAGGATAAACACACAAATAAAGCTAATTAATTGTGCCCGGTTAAGTGCAGTAAACTAGTTTGACTCCACTAACACACATAAAATACATAAAATAGCTTCCTGTCAGAAAACCCTTTCTGGAAGAAATATTTTCACTTTACATGATCTTTTTCCTAAAACTTGAAGGCAAACTTTTCCCAGCAGCCAAAATACATGGATTAACAACATCATTTAACATAAGTATAAAATTTGGCTCAATAATAACTGAAGGTTCATAGGCAAAACAGCTGTATTTTACTAGTCACACATTATTAGATTAAGCACATTTACACTGCATAAATTAGCCTAGCGGCTAGTGGAGATTTAC